TGCGAGTCGCTAAATTCACACTTTGAATGAAACCTTTACCACATGTTTTACAACAAAATGGCTTCTCCCTGGTGTGAGTTCTCATGTGAGTCTGTAAGTAATAAGTCATCCTGAAACCTTTCCCACAGATCTGACAAATGTAGGGCTTCCCTCCATTGTGGACACTGTAATGTTCCTTCAGCTGGGACTTGAATTTAAAGGTTTTTCCACAAAACTCACAATGGAAAGGTGTCTGACTCAACTCGGCTTCACTCTGACTCTGAGAAGAGAGAGGGTCTGGGTTTGGTTCTGGTTCCACGTCACTTTCTTCATTTACAGTCATTGCAAAGATTCTGGTCTCCTGCTTGGTTTCAGGATGCTCTTCATCCTGACTGATGCAGAGATCCTCCTCTTCCTGTTTAATGTATGGAGGGTCCACTTCCTCCTGTTCTTGTTTAATGTGTGGAGTTTCTGGTTCCTTCTGGTCCAGACTCGAGCTCCTTGTTGGTTCACAAAGCTGCTGATCCAGTAGAAGCTCCTCCTCTTTGCAGACATGTTGCTGTGGGAAGTCTTGAGAGAAAACATAAAAAACAGTTTTATATTTTTACATAAATATAAACCTTAACAGAATAAAAACAGAAGAAATTGGTTAAAACGTTCTGATCTGGTCCGTTAAACTCTGTTCTCGATGGTCTTGCAGTGTTGGTTAGCTGGCTGCAGCTGTGAAGAAGCTCAGGGTTTAATTCATATCTTGTGGGGCTTTCAGTCTGGATCAAAACTGCTGCAGCATCCAGTCCTACAGTCACAAGGAAAAAAAAGTCCTCCATTTTTCTGTTTGGGGTTTTAGGCACACATTTTTCACAATCTGTCCTTTTAACCAGGTTCTAAAACTATCTTAATTAGGGATACATGATATTGGATATTTGGCTGATATATGATATGTTAAAACTTATTTGGCCGATAACCGATGCCGATACCAATATTTTATATACTTTCCTTTGTCAGAACATAGCCCTCTTATTTAGGCTTATTTGCTACAAAAATTGTGCAACAGCTGTAAGAGCTGGTGACATAATCAGTAACAGCCATTTGCATAGCACTTTAACTTATATTAAATGAAACGTGTTAAAGATTATTTATTAGCATTAGCCACCAATGATGCTGTCTCACTTGTAGAGGCTTGTTCCAGGTTCCTATAGCTGCAGTGTGGGATCCTCTGCACTCCTGTGAAAGTTCTAACACAACGTCCAGATGTCTGTGGTAAAACTCACCCAAGTCGTGCTATCGACTATTAGCTTCTCAATGACGTTGGAAATGACAGCTTGTAACTCGGGTAACGTTACGTCGGAATAATATCTCTGACTGGGGACGATGTAGTGAGGCTCAACGTAGTCCATAAATCTTCAGAATCCGACATCCTCATTAACGGAAAATAAAACTTCCACACCGCCAACATTTTGAATTTTCCTCTCCGCCGTGAGATCAGGTAGGCGCGCGTGATGTCATCACGTTGTGCTGCCGCTGCAGGCAAAAACTGCGCCTTTTATATCGGTGAGTTATTTTAAAGGAATGACCGATGTCTGATATTGAACTTTAATGCTAATATCGGCTGATACCATGCCGATAATATCGTGCATCCCTAATCTTAATCTGATGTGAAGTGAACAAAATGCCAGCAGGCCCCATCGTGTCATTAATTATTTAAAAATGATTAAAGCTGCGAGTGAAAAACTTGTTCCAGCTCCTTATCCAGCAGCTTTTAGAACCTCCTTTAGCAGCAATATGCCAGTTATCTGCAGGACTTTATCAATTCCTCACATGGTCACAGATGACCCTGTTGGAGACAAAAATGCTTGTATTGATGTTGATGATCAGTTAATCAATACATTTGGTCAGCAGCTCTGGGGCAAAACTGGACCTCTGAAATCTTGTGGAAGCCACGAGTCTCAAATAACTCAGTGGGAGTTGGGTTTTTTGTTCACTTCAGGTTGTATTTAAATCAACTTGGTCAAACCCATTTTTATCATAGCCTGATAAATAAAACCCAAGAACTGAAAGAGTGAACTTTCTTTTTCTCAGGACTGCAAGACTGGATGAAAAACGGGTGATGTTCTTTAAATAACTCAACAAAAACACATTTTATATCAGAAGTACTCCTGACTTTACAGTGAATTCAGACTCCAGGATCACTTAAACATGGTTAGCCTGCTCTGGAGCACACCATGTGCCCAGAGTAAAAACCTGTGGAATCGTTTTTGTTAAACAGAATCAACAAAAAAGTAAACCTGCTGCACAGAACCGAGGTCTGAAGCCTCGTGTGGATCTTCAGACCCTCTGAAGAGGCTCCTTCTAACTTTGACTGAAAAAAATGCAGACATTTTATTAATGCATACAAAATATAAAAAAAAACAATACTTTGAGTTTACCTACATAAACTTTGCGATATGCGCATAAAACTTCTGCAGTAAAATGTCAATGTCCATTTTATTTTTATAGCTCATAAAAACAACAAAAGCTATACAAAGGTCGTCTTTATAAAATCAGTCGAACAAAAGACAAAACAACAATAAAAGCGAAGCAACAAAATTATTCCTCCTTGAATCGTCACCTTATCGTGGTGGAGTTTGTGCACGGTAACTTTTACTAAATGATTTGGATGTATGTGAATGTTTTTGTACAGTGAGACAACTTCTGTTGGGACTCGGGAGTTAAAATATAAATAAACTGGTGAATTGAATTCTCACGAGATCTGAGCTTGTTCACGTTGGCCAAATGAACCGCCATGTTTGTAGTCTTTTAGCTGTTCTCTACAGAAACAGTGCGCTTAAAGCTGAAATGTTTTTTGCTTTTAGACAGAACAAGTTTTTTGTTGCTCCCGTGTGAAAACAGCAGCTGCTGCACCGTCAAAACCCAAAAGGAGCCTCCATCCATGGGTCGGGTGTTAGCTGGTACCGACCTGATTTGTTTAACTGGACCCGATGTTCCCAGTTAATACCCAGCAGTCTGAGTCTGCGCCAAAGATCCATCTGTTCCTAAAAAAAATTCTAAGATCCTGAACTGGAGACGGTTTGACACGACAGACTGCAGCTGCTACAAACTCCCGCTGACGCTCAGAGAACGCCCGGTGTTCAGCCGCCCCGGCCGCCATGTTTGTTGTTGGTGTTAAACCGGAACTTCCGGTGCCTGAAGTCCAGCACCACCTGCTGGACTGGAGCATAAACAGGTGATCAGCAGGTAAAAACTGATTTTAATCAATAAACTTGTCAACTTTAAGATTAACATCTCTTTGTCTATTATCGTTTGAGCATATCTGATCAAAAATTTCTTATAAAGAGACTAGTTCCTGTTTTTGCACGTGTCTGCGTTGGATCTGTTAGCAAAATATCTCATGAACCTTCAGTTAAATGTCAATAAAACCGGCAAGAAGTAATCAATGAATGACCATCTGCAACTGATCAACGTTTGGAGTAAATCCAATTCAAGATGGCCACCACAGCTAACCAACATTAGTCAGCACAAATGTTGGTTAGCTGTGGCAGCCATCTTGAAAGTATATAACTCAACCTGTGAAAGTTAATTGATGCCTTGTATTACATTTTTTTTGTCTTGGTTTGTTTGTAAATTGTTTTCCATAATAATAAAAAATAAAAAGCTGTGGCAGCCATCTTGAATTGGGTTTACTTCTGATCCGCTCTCCATCTGGTTTCTGATCAGTCAGGCGACTCCATATCAGAATCTGGGTCATCGCTCAGAGAAACCACAAAGCTGAAGAGTAATCAGAGTATTTCCACAGAGTACTGCACTCAGAGGCCCAAAGAGAGAAGAATGTCTCAGCCTTCAAGTGGAAACTACTTTATTTATGGTTTACAAGTTAATGTATGTGTGAACATTTACACATAAACAGTAACTCTTTCAGTTAAAATAAATACACAGCCATTAAATAGAAATCCATCAGATCTAAAATAAAAACATAAATCTCCCAGACTGTTCTTGGTTTGGATAAAACTCAACTTCGACTGCAAATAAAAAAAATATTCTGGCTTATTCTCATACGTCTTACATCCAAATATTCATACAGAAATAAATTAAACTTTTCTCAGGACGTCTTATTTTAAAAGTCAGAACCGTTGTAGTGTAGTGGGGACATTTAAATATTTAAAGTGATGTAAATTCAAATCAAGAGCGTGTTTATTTTTACTTAAAGCGACTCACGACAAAGTCTGAAATCAAACATTCAAAGTTTCTCCTGAAGTGCATCAAAGAGCGTTCGAAAGATTTCACTCCGGTAGTTTTATAGATTTATTCATACTCAATTCTGAAAAGCAGAACTTCATGTAAACACGCTCGACTGAATCAAACCAGGTGGAAGTTTGTCGCATGAGCGACCTCAGTCAGCTGCAGTCTGAACACACGAGGGGAGTCTAAACGAAGACGTTTAGGAGCAAACATCGGAGTCAACCTGTAGCTGAACGCAGAAGAACAAAATGATTCAAACTGCTGTCAGCGATCAGTCGGGTGTGGAGCTCATTGAAGACAGAAGTCAGGATTCAAACAAACTTACAGTTTACAGTTTCATCTGGACCCGTTTATCAACAAACATGAGCAAAAAGACGTCCCAACACGTCCAAAATGTCAAACTTCTCCGTCCCAAACGTCTCTTGGATGGACGTCATGGACCTTTTTTCAGTCACTTCAGCTGTTTACAGAAGTAAACAAACACGAGCTGGCATCCTGTCACAAATTTGTGCTGAAAGATTTTTATTTTATTTTAAAGACATTACTACGACGGAGCTTTAGGGCCACGTTAAAATTTTTTATTTTTTTAAATACATTGCACGCTAAGAAAAAAAACAACAACATAAAATTAAGAGAATAAAGTCATAGAATCAAGAGAATAACGTCATACAAGACTTTTTTTTTTTTAAAAGCTGTCGTTAATTTTTTTTCCCCCACGAGTCCGACGTGACCTTTCTATGACTTTATTCTCGTAATTTTATGGCTTTTATTTTATTTTTCTTAGCGTGGCAATGTTTTTTTTTTTTTTTTTTGTGTGGCCCTAAAGTTCCGTTGTACTTTACTCATCTATGTGAGAAAAAAATAGGCAGATTTTGTTTTACTTTTTTTTTTTACCGACTCCACTAAATTCCAAGTCAATTTTTTTGAAAATATCCAACAATTTAAAACAGCCTACTTTTTGAACAGTTATTTTAAACATTACACAATAATCAGTTTTAACTTCTTGGATTTATCATATGCTGAATTTTACGTTTGTTTGTCTTTAATGTGTTAAAGCGAGATGTGTTTCAGACTCGTTAAAGATGAGCTTAAAGGAAAAAAATCCTTGTTAAAAATATTTTAAAAGCCAACCTGGACTAAAAGCCTCACCAATTAATCCGTCAATGTTTCTGTGCTAAATAAGAACAATTCAGTCTTCTTGAACAGGTAAATTTAGTTTAAACTTGTAGCTGCGACCACATTTTTACAACCATACCGAAGCTGAAGACATCTTCAGACGGTCAATGATCAGAACAGAACTGTTGTGTCTGAACATCAGGGGATGTCTAAGGTGCACCTGAACGCTCCTAATCTTAATCTCTGTGGATTACCAATGATAATTTTCCTTCTTAGATGTGCCGAGTCGTCTTGTGAACTAACAAATCTCGGTTTTGCCGGAAACATTTCCCGCAGGTCTCGCAGAGAAATGGCCGCTCGCCGGTGTGCGTCCTCATGTGAGCCGTCAGGCTGCCGTTCTGCGTGAAGCTTCTCTCGCAGGTTGGACAGGAATATGGCCGCTTACCAGTGTGGGTGGACACGTGGCGTGACAAGTCGCCGCTGTTACTGAACCGTTTCTCACACTTGTCACATGGGTACCGTTTCTCGCCCGTGTGTATCCTCATGTGGACGGTCAGATTGCCATTCTGGGAGAACCGCTTGCCGCAGGTTTTACAGGAGTACGGTCTCTCTCCTGTGTGGGTTCTAATGTGGATCAGAAGTTTCTCGTGAACTCTGAAGCTCCTCCCACATTGTTCACAGGAGTGAGGCCTCTCGTCTGAGTGGATGTTCACGTGATTATGTAAGGAAGAAGAGCTGGAAAAGCTTTTCCCGCATGTTTTACAAACGTACGGCCTCTCACCGGTGTGAACTCTGTAATGAGCTTTGAGTTTGGACCTCGACTTGTACACCTTCTCACAGAACTCACACTGTAAAGCTTTCTGACCCGTGTTGGTGTTCCTCGGACTCTCTGAGGAGGGAGAGTTTTCTGCATCTCTGCTGAGATTTTTCTCTGCTTTCTGGGTCGGTTCTGGTTCCCCGTGGTCACGTTCCTCATCAGTAAGAGTCCCCGTGAAGGTTCTGGTCTTCTGCTTCGATTCAAGCTGCTCTTCACCCTTACTGATGCAGAGATCCTCCTGTTCCTCTTTAATTTGTGGAGGTTCTGGTTCCTCCTGGTCCAAACTGGAGGTGCTCTCCTGTTTACAGAACCGCTGATCTGCCAGGAAATCCTCATCTTTGCAGATGATGTTCAGAAAGAAGTCTAAAGAGACACAGAAAGGTAAAACATTTCTTACTGCAGAAACACCCATGGATAAAGAAAGTCCTCCACCGTTCAGTTCTGGCGTTTCACAGACCTAATCAAACTGATTGGGTCTTTAACCGGTTCTGAAATTATTCAAATCCAACATCAAGAACCCTCAGTGGTTTTCTGTTGGTCTCTCCTGTTCTGGACTAGTGCTGGCCCACTCTTCTTTCCATCACTGAAGGTTCTGCTCAGCTCTCTGAAGGTCCACCACAGCATCTCAATCAGGTTCAGGTTCTGGACTTTTAAATGGACCGTTGGTTCTGTTCTTTCAGACCCGTTCTGTTGTATAGTAGCTGCTGTGTTTGGGACCATGGTCCTGTTGCATTCAGTTTGATCCAATCGTCAGCAATGGGACCGATGGACTCATCTGATCCAGAACCCTTTGGTCTCCAGAGGCTTTCTGGTCCACTCAGTTACTAACAGGAGCCCAAACCATCAGCCTCCACCACCGTGCTGACAGCTGGAGGCGCTGTTTGCTGCAGTGCATTCTGGGTAAACATCTGTCCTCTGGTATGGTTCTGGCCCAGAGGTCTTGTGGTTCCTTCAGATGAAACTTTCCAAATCTAAGTCAAGCTGCCATGTTTCCTGATGCATGCTCAATAATCCAGGTAGAAAAATCTAAAAAAGTTAAATCTGGTCCTCTGGACATTCAAAAAAACAAAACAAAGCAAAACAACAAAAAAAATGTAGAAACGTTTCGTCTCTCATCCGAGAGACTTCCTCAGTCTGAGGTGCTGTATTCAGCTCAGTCTCTTAAATAGCACCTTCTCAGAGTGGATCAACCAGTTTTGCTGCTGACAACCAAAACCAGCTGATCACATGCTCAAGAAGGACCATCAGCATAACAATGGATCATTAGCACACTGATGGCTGTTTACTACTCACAGAGGGCTGAGTGATACTAGCAATCACAGCATTGTAAGAGGGGGACAGTTGAACCCGGAGGCCTCCACCCCTGTTTAATGATGGACGATTTCTTTTTACAAAGATGGCCTCCTTTACTCCTCTCTCAAACCATCGTTACTCTCTATCCAGGATGTGAACATCTTCATCCCTTCATCCCTGTTGTTTTGCTTTGTTTTGTTTTTTTGAATGTCCAGAGGACCAGATTTAACTTTTTTAGAAGCTGCCATGTTGTTTTTAGAGAGGTCATGACCTTTGACATGTTGACTGAGGCCTATAGAGTCACTGCACGGTCTGACCTTCAGGGTGAATCAGCTGTCTGAATTGTTTCCTACGTGTGAACAAACGTTCTTTCTGTAGGACTCTGGGTGACCTTTGACCCTTATCAGATTGACGGACAGCAGCAGTAGCTTCTCTGAGGTCACTGCTGATGTCTTTCTGCCTTGGCGTTGTGTTAACACACACCTGGATGCTGCAGGTAGAGGTGGTCCACTGATGAGGATCAGTTCTCCAGCAGCTCCTGATCCTGGACCTCAGATCCTGAAGAAGCAGCTTGAACGTTTAGTTTGTGTTTAATAAACGACGACTCGTGGAATCTGTTGGTGTTTTTGTTCACTTCAGGTCCGGTTTGACCTGTTTCAGAACCTGATAAAGACCCGATCTGTTTGATGGGTCCAGACGTTGGTGTTGATTAACCCAAACGGGTTTTGGTGCTGTGCAAAGAGTTTTTGTCTTCAGGGATAAAATCAAAACCTTTAACTTTCAAACTACAGAAGGTGGTTGTAGTTTTTGACAAGTGATGGTTTCATCTAGGCAGTTTTTAGACCTCCATGTTTAAAAACAAACATTAAATTACATTCTCACTTCGTTTCATGACCTTTTCATCCAATGTGAAATATGAGCTTTAAAACATCTTTACGTTGTGGACTATTGTTACAAGAACATTATGGAAAGTTTGTTCAAAGTTCTGAAGAGTTCAGGCTGAAAAAGAAAAAGTTTCAGTCGGGTCCGATTCTCAGAAGCTCGTCTGACACAAAAATCAGGAAATCTGGATTATTCAATTATTGAAGAGGTCAGGTCAGTCCCGCCGGTCAGAGGTGACCAGGACTCTGATCCAGAAACACACCGGACCACTTCCAGGACCTGACTGAACACAATGGGCCGGAACACGTTCCTAAAATGGACAGAGAACTTCTGGATTCTACGGTTTGACTTCATCCAGACAGAAGAACGTCTCTGGAAACAGAACCTCCAGGTGTTGGAGAACTGACCCATTAAAACAGAACCCACAGGTCCAAAGAGCCTTTAGAGTTCTGACAGGAGGGGTGAACGTACCGGTACCAGGCTGCTCTTCATCCTGCCTGAGGGAACCCTCCTCCTCCTCTGTAACGTTCACATGTTCTGGTTCCTGTTTCATCTGTGAAGGTTCTGGTTCCTCCTCTGTTAGAACCTCCTCCTTTTTGAAGACACAATGCTGTGGAACGTCTGCAGAGACAAAAAGAAAAGACAAATCAAACTTTATTAAAAAACTCAGATCTCCTTTATTTGAACAAATTTATTTCTGTGGTGTCGATTCACGAGAAAATTATTTATTTCAAAATCCCACAAACCTGAGGAGAAGGATCCATTCTTCTTTTATGGTTTCAGTAAATTGAAGCTAAATTAAACAATAAAATCTGATTCAATGATCTAAAATGAATCTGAATGATTTTAAATCAGAAGTTTGTCTTTTTGAAACAACACCAGGTTCAACTCTGTCAGTTTAAAACCAAACACCTGAACCAGATTTAAAGGATTCCAGTTCTTTCAGGTAAAAACTGATGAAAGTGTTTAAAAGTGACCGTGCCTGGGCGCTGGTCACAAGTTTGCATACAGTCAGAGAAACCCGTCGAGGTGAAAATTAAACTCAAATCAGGCGAGAGTCTCCGCCTATGCAGCCTGAAATCTACGTCACTAATCAATTTATGTGTTTTTAATTAATCAACAGGTGCAAATTAATTTACTACATTTACCTCCTGACTGATTGATTCATTCATTCATTCAACCTTTATTTAAACAGGTTAGTCCCAATGAGCCACGAGGACTCACTTACAAGAGACCTGGATGTAAACAGAACACTGAATAAAGTCAGTGGTTCTAAATTCAATTCTAAAATACTTTATTAATCCCAAAGGTAAATTAAATGTTGCTCATCCTGTTGTTATAGATGCTGATGGCTGGGGGCAGGAAGGATCTCCCACAGTGGATCTGAAGAATCTGGCCACAGGTGCAGATCCATCCACCCAGACCCGGCGGGTCTCTCGGTCCTCCTGGGCAGCAGGACCACCCGAATGCTGGGCAGAACGCCTGCCCAAGCGATGGCCACTCCTCCCAGCAGCTTTATGAGCTGCAGGGGGGTGATCCCAGTCCTCCCGTTGTCACGAGCAGCGTTTCCCGCCAGCTCCAGGATCTCGGAGGTCAGATTCTCAAACACAGCTGCCAGGTAGACGGGAATTCATCCACAGCGCCTCCTTTTCAACTCCTTTGGGATTTAGGGTTTGAGGTATTTGAGCTTTTGAGACGTTAAACTGCTGCTTCCGGTTGAAAAAAATAAATAAAAAAAATCTTGTTGCCATGGTTACGCATCATAACAAATCTCACAGTAAAAAGTTTTCAGTAAAAATCCTGCACAGCATCCAATACCGGAGGAAATAATAATTAAATAAAAAAAGTGATTTACATCCAGAAAAAAGCAGAATTATTTTTTTCTAAAGCAACACCTCAGAATGAATGTTGTTTAGTTTTATCATTTTCTTCCATTTACGTTTCAATTTATATGCTTTTTTTATGATTGTCTACTGTTGTCATCATTTTTTGTTAAAACAGGTCTCTCTTGTAAATGAGTCCTCGAGGCTCAATGAGACTAATCAGCATAAATAATGGTTGAATGAATGAATGACAGAGCTGCTCCAACATGCAGCCACCTTGATTGGTGCAGTTCCACAGCTGATCTGATCCATTACAGGTTCTGTGTTTTCTAGAGTTTTACGTTCCTGTTGAACATTTACATCTTCAGCTGGAAACCACATGATGGTTCAGGTCTGATTTAAAGTGGACCTCCTTCAGGGGAACAGCCCATGGTTCTGAAGCAGCCCGCGGAAAAACACGTGATGTCACATGCGGCACGCCCCGTTTACTGAGGGAAACATGGAGGCTGCACACGTTGGCATGAGTGGACAGGACAATCAGAACCAAGTAAATTATGACCTGACAGGATCGTTTGGTCCGGTGTTTATATTTCCTGCCTGCTCAGGAGCAGAAATGAACATCTGGAACTGAAAGTAGAAACAAACTCCAGTTTGGATCCGACACCACCATCAGGTGTTGCTGGAGACCCTCAGTCCTCCAGAACAGAACAAATTTAAAATAAAATGTGTGTTCTGCAGCTGAAGACTTGTGGAGGTCTGAGCTTTATCAATATTTGGATGGACTTCCATCCTCCTACACCTCACTGTTCACATGGAGTACAATACGGATCCGATTCAGAACCACATATGAAGAAGACTCAGGTCAGATCTGAAAACATCAGATTTGTCATGAAATGATCAGATGTGGCTGAACGCAGCCTTAGATAGCTCTGATTTATGGAGGCGCCTTTCCTTTTGTTTGAGAGGGAAACTCCTCCCTCACCGCTCGTCTTGACCACCGGCTGACAAAAAAGGAACACACTCAAACGTTTTTATGGTAGAAAAGTGACGTTTGTGTTCAAACACAATGTTACACACAGACTGACCTGTACAGATTAATGCAGGACGGTTTGACATGTTTTCATCTTGCAGGCTTGGACTCCAGGAAGTGAGAACGTGCAGGAGGCTCAGGGGGCTCCGGTGGTTGGTCCAAACTACAAGACTGAGGAAAATGAGCAGGGAGTTAGTTCAAAATGTGTTAGTTGTGATCAACATCCTGCAGCGAGTGACTGTTATCGCCTGCCACTGAAGGAGAAGCAGCGTGTCTGTGTTTATCTGTCTGTTAGCAAAATATCTCCTGAACACAAGCACAAATGTCAATGAAACTCTCAGAAAGTAAATATTAGAACACACAACTGATTACCTTTTGGAATTATCATGATTTAAGATGCTCACCACAAATTACCAACATTATAAAACACAAAACTGGCTTTAACTCTGACAGTTTTACAAATACGGAGCTAAAGTTTGGTGTGGTAGTAGCAGAGAGTCATCTATGATGCATATTCTGAGCGCAGGATTGTGAATGTTGTTTTTACGTGTTTGACCAAAGCGGCTGTCAACATAAAGATGAATCTAACATCATGGCAGTAAAAAGGGCGGACGATATGCATTCCTTCCAGGAACGCTTGGTCTTCAGATTGTCCTGTTCTTTAAAGACGTCCAGCTTTTGTCCTTCTGTCCTCCACCTGGTCTCAGTTTGAACAACACATCAAGCTGAGAGATGAGTGGTTTCATTCTCTTCTCTTTTTTTTTTTGGCTGAGACAATTCAGAGACCGTTTTGAGACTGTTCCGTCCAGATGATCTGATTGAACTTTGTTGGATTCTCTACCTGGATTATTGAGAATGAACTTTGATATTGGCTATGCTGCCTCAGAGGAGTTGACGGGGGAGAGGGTGGGCCCCAGAAACCATCTTATTACCAACAAACTGGTTGGTCCACTTTGTGGGTGTGCTGCTTGTGGGACTCAGTTTGTTATGGCTCCTCGGACTGATGAAGTCCTTTGGATGAAGGACTAAACGTCTTTAAAAAAAATAAATCGTTCGTATGACCTGACTGAACTTGTTGGATTTTCTTCCTGGATTATTGAGCATGAACTTTGCAAAAGCAAAACAATTTAACAAGATACAAATACAAACACTCGTGAAGGTTTACAAAATATGGATTTTTTTATAAAATAATGAAAAATAAAAAAACACAAAGGAGCAAGTGTATGAGAAACCTCAAACGATAAGCTTTTAGTCTGTGATGAAGCTCTGAGCCATCAGGGTTTCTACCTGCAGATGATCTGAGGAGGTCCGGGCTCCAGCTGATCTCCGACAGTCCGGGTCGAAGATCAATGGGCTCTTCATCAAACCGATCGATCGATCGGTGATTCTCCGCCAAATGTTCTCTGAAAAACTCCTTCAAGTGATCAAATGAAGACATTTGTCCACTAAATATCCATCTGAGAGGCAACACGTCTGTGCAGCTTTTTGCTTCCTGCTTTTCTTCTTCTTCGCTTAGCTGAGCATGCGCAGTGGGATGCTGCTGCCCCCTTCAGTCCGGATGACGACACTGCATGAAACTCCTTCTAGTCCTGATTTTCTCATGAGACACACTACAGTATTTATTTGTTTGTTTATTAAATCATATTCTTATTATCCATTCTAAACGATGTGCCATATTTAGGATGCTTTTTTTAAGTCGGTCATATTCTGATGCTGCCGATCAAACGAAATCCAGTTCTTTAAATATTTACATTGTGTTTGGTCCTTAATATTAGTTTTACATACGTTATTCACATCACAACCATTGAAGAATGTGCTGCAACACAATTTATAAGAGTTTAAGAAATCATTTGTTCATTTAAAAATACTCAAAGTTAAAAAAAAGCAATTAAAATATTTAATGTCTAATAATTTGCATTAACTGTTGTAAAACATATTTATTTAGTCTATTTAAATAATTTTGGGCTGAAAAAAAAAGACTAATAACTAGAAATGACTGTTAAATTGATGCTCAACAACATTTCATTTAGGTAATTTATTTTAGGGTTGACAAAATAATCCTATTCAAGGAAAATGGTAAGTAACCATTTGAAACACAATGCATAAAAATGTGCAATTTTTATTATTAATTTTTTTTACCATAAATATAAAGGTTAAGGTTTTTTTTATATGTCGTACGCACCACAAGTGGTGCATGTAGTGAAACGAAATTGTGGACACAGGGTCAGTTACTGCAACAAAAGTATAAATTGTAAAGAAAAACAGTAATAAGATCAAAGATATGAACTAAAAAATACGCTAAAATAAGAATACACTAAGCACTGATACAAACAATACACAGAACAAAAGCAGCAAACTAAAACAAATAAAATAAAAAACTAAAAACTTTTAAATAAATATTGAAAGTGAAATGTAATTTTAATCTGTGTTAATCTAATTTAAATTGGTAGCTGTTCTGATCTGTTACATGATTTTACTCCGCGCTGTTCCCTTTCCAAAATGGCGGACATTTTCTCGTCTGGTGGCAGGGTACAGCGCATGCGTAAATCATTTTGTGGGCACAAGCGCAACATAGCAGGACCACATTATGTTAAAACATGTAACCCACCTATACCCCTCTGAAGTAAGTGAGATGCCTTTACAGTATGTATGTACCTGGGTTACATACATAAAACATATAATCAAGATAAATTATAATATATATTTATATATATTATATTCAAGGATTCAAGGTTCTTTATTAGTCATACGCACCACATGTGGTACATGTGGTGGAACGAAATTGTGTTCACAGGGTCCCAGTTACATCCAACAAAAGTATAAATTGTAAAAGAAAAACAGTAATAAACTCTAAGAAATTAACTAAGAAAAACATTAACTAAAAATATGTTAAGCACTAATAGTACAAAAACAATACGCCGAACAGCAGCATGAACAAGAGTCTGTGTGAGCAGATGAGTACGAATGAACACAGCAACATGAAACAGATCAGCAGCAACATGAAACAGATCAGCAGCAACATGATGTGATTTTTCACAGTGATTATCCTGGTTAGAGATTCATGAGTCTAACAGTTTCAGTGTAGAAGCTGTTCCTCAGTTTAGTGGTTCTACACTTAATGCTCCTCAACTTCCTGCCTGGGCAGCACGGTGGCGCAACTGGTAGAGCTGCTGCCTCTCAGCGAGATGTTAGGCTTATTGGTAACTCTAAATTGTCCCTAGGTGTGAGTGAGAGAGTGAACGGTTGTTTGTCTCGTTTGTGGAGAGCATCCTGTGCTCGAGCATCAATGTGTGGCATGGAGGCTGCACAGCTGCAGAAAGAAAAGCTTTGCAGAGAGTGGTGAAGGCTGCACAGAAATCTGTTGGAATCAGCCTCCCCACCATCACAGACATCTACACCTCCAGATGCAGGAAGAGGGCCACCTGCATCATGAAGGACCCCACCCACCCAGCACACACACTTTTTGCCCCACTCCCCTCAGGAAGGAGGTTAAGGAGCATTAAGTGTAGAACCACTAGACTGAGGAACAGCTTCTACCCTGAGGCTGTTAGACTCATGAATCTCTAACTAGAATAATCACTGTGAAAAACCATATCATGTTGCTGCTGATCTGTTTCATGTTGCTGCTGATCTGTTTCAATGTTGATGTGTTCATGCATGCACATCTGCTCACAGACTCATGTTCATGTTTGTGCTGATGTTCAATGTTTTATGTTATGAGTGCTTAGTGTATATTTAGTTGATGCTTTTCTTAGTTCATATCTTAGATGTTATTACTGTTTTTCTTATACATTTTATTGTTGGATGTAACTGGGACCTTGTGTACATAATTTCGCTCCACCACATGTACCACATGAGGTGCGAATGACAATAAAGAAACTCTGACTCTGACTCTCTGACTCTGACTCTATGTGGCCCTGTGATGGACTTAAGACCCGTCCAGGGTGTACCCCGACCCTCGCACAGTGATTGCTGGACATGGGCACCAGCGACCCCCGTGACCCAAAATGGAAGAAGCGGGTTAAAGATAATGGATGGATGGATGGAACCTCCTGCCTGAGGGGAGCGGGACAAAAAGTGTGTGTGCTGGATGAGTGGGGTCCTTCATGATGCTGGTGGCCCTCTTCCTGCATCTGGAGGTGTAGATATCTGTGATGGTGGGGAGGCTGACTCCAACATCTTCTGTGCAGCCTTCACCACTCTCTGCAAAGCTTTTCTTTCTGCAGCTGTGCAGCCTCCATGCCACACGTTGATGCTGGAGCACAGGATGCTCTCCACTGCACACCTGGAGAAGGAGGTGAGGACTGAGCTTCCCAGACCAGCTCCGTCTGAGGAAGTAGAGTCTCCAATGAGCTTTCTTGATCAGGCTGGTGTTGTTGTTGTTCCAGCTGAGGTTGTCATTCAGGTGTACACCCAAGTACTTGTAGATGGAGACCATTTCCACCCCAGATCCTCATATGTTCGTGTGTGTGTGTTTGTGTGTGTTGGTTGGGGGGTGGGGGGGTTGTTCCGTCTGAAGTTCACGACCATCTCCTTCGTCTTCTTCATATTAATGTAAAGGTTGTTCTTCCTGCACCAGCATATATATAATCAATCAACCTTTATTTATACAGGTAAATCCCATTGAGCCTCGAGGACTCATTTACAAGAGAGACCTGATTTCAACAAAGAAAGATGACATAATATTAATATTAATTAATATAATATATATTTATATAATTATTATAATTCTATGGATATATATAATATATTTATATATAATATGTATATTTCTTTATTATGGATAGCTATTTATTGATGGTCAGGACAGGCGCGACACGAGCCTCTCCGGTCCTTTGAAACGAAACACAGAGAAGAAAGGAACAGATTTCGATACAACACCGGAAACAATCGGCATTTACGGAGAGGGGAGCAGCGATGGGAAACCAGTAAATGGAGAGGATTGTTGCTGCTGCCTGCAATCAGTCCGTCTTCAGCTGAGCATATCAGAGAGTTTATTTTACAACAATGGATCCTCGGAACAGACTCAGACAACTGGATGCTAACTGGGAGTCTCGCGTCGTCGGTAAGTAACTTAGCACACGGCAAGCTTCCTCTTTGTTGCTTTCACGGCTAATCTAGAAACATACGCTGTGTTTGTTATAGGTATATAACGTCAAATGTTTTGTGATCTCCGAACATCATCTCTTTCTTCTCCTGTTAGCCACTGCTAGTTTGTTGTTAGCGTTGGAAGCTACTGAACACTGGTGTTGCACCAAATTCTGTGACCACCGTATATCGTTGCCCCTGAACTCCTCGCTTTGCTTAGAGCACGCGTTGTCAAATAAAAATGTTAAAGGTCCACGAAGACACTTTTAAAAGACATTCGTTTATTTCAAAATGAGAAATATACATACATACTGAAACAAACTAGAATTTTAATTTAAATATAAAATTAAAAATATGAAAATAAACTCCCGCAAAAGATTTAAAACAAAATATAAGGGGTTTAGACTCTTTCATTTTAATGCAAAGGGCCACAAAATGGGAAAAAAATGTGCAAGTCTAAAGTGATACAAGGAACTCAGGAATTCAAAAAATTAAATACTTGCTAAAATAAATCAAAATGTATTTTTAATTTTAACAAAAAATCTGCCCCTCCATAGAATAATTCTGGTAAACAAATACTCTCTAATGAAGGAAATGTTGCGTCTTTTACCAATACTTTGAACTCTGGCACAGAGTGACAGCCAGACGAAGATACTGATGCAAATGTTCGTTTGTGAGCCGACTGTGGTACTTGTTCTTGACCAAGTTCATTGTTGAGAAGGCGGATTCACACCGAACATTATGAGAATGTGTGTAATAATTGTCAATGCACTGGAGTTTTTTTTATCCTCCTGTGCACTACGCAGGAGGATGGAGGACAGCTTGTGCTGGCCTATTCATCATGCATCAGCCTTTTGAAACACGTTGGTGATGAGGATTATTTTACTCTGCTCCGCTGTCAAGATCCACTGGCAGACTGGAGCAAAAGTTGCTCTTGCTGCCAGTTTTGGTAAACGATTTATCGCCTCTAGTCGTCCAAGCCTCCCACCGAGCTCCAAGTGTGACTTTAAATGTACGATTCACACTTATTTCAAGTGGTTGAAAATACTTCGTTGTACACAACGGGGAGGGGGTGATCTGTGGCCTGTTCTGTAATTTCCTTGGTCACATTTTTTTAAACCTTTTTATTTATACAGGAAGTCTCATTGAGTCTTGAGGACCCACCCCCGAAGAGAGACGTGTATTGGGCAGCTATGCGAGTGCCCAGGTGTGACGAGGCTACGTTTTGGCAGCAGGAAGCTTGTTAACCCATCTAAAAATAATAATTTGAAAAAATCCATAAATTAGCCGCAGCATTGTATAAGCCGCGGAGTTCAAAACATGTGGAAAAAGTAACGGCTTATAGTCCAGAAATTACAATTACAATACAATAAACACAATAAACACAAATTGTTCATCCATTCTTCTTCAAATTGCTGGTTTTCTCTTTCCACCGTACTTTTCCAGGCGAACTTGGAGCATGCCATGTTTACCCACACGGAGCAGACTGCTGCTCAAACAAAAATTTTAATCACGATTAATTGCAAAATATTTTCGTAATTAATCACATATGATTAAATGTCTTATTTTTTATTTTCTAATCGTTTTTTTAGAAACTTTAACTTAACATGCTCAAATGCCCCCCCCCCCCCCCCCCCAAAAAAAAACAACAACCTTTAATATAATTTTCAAATATTGATTTGTATTTACAGTAGTCCCTCGTTTATCTTGTGGGT